ATTTCAAACTTACCATATGTATCCTTCCCGAACTATTGAGTCGTGTGAGCAGCTGTTGGTTGCGTTCATCGCTCCCCTGAAATTTCAGGAGACTGGATGCAGCTCCATAGGTTTTCAAAGCCCGACTTACCCTCATTCTGAAGCATACTAAACCCATAATCACTTCGCCAACAATCTCAAAAACTGGATCAGATCGCAACAACAGTTCCATTCGTTTTGCCAGACGTACATGCTAAAATTTTTACGTTTCTAATCGAATGGTAGGCAGTTATGATTGCATTTTGCATGATGCCGTTGTTGTCGTTTATCGACCGAGTACAGGCCGAAATCTGTCAGTTTATGGAAGAGTCTAAGAGCTGCACAACAGTTTTCAAATGATTCACCTCCCGTATATAGTTCTGCAGGCCTTCAACGCCGTACGTACGGATCACAAACCATAACTTGAGCGATCGAAACCGTCTACTCAGCGGGATTCCCCAATGGCGATAGTCGATTGATTTATCTGGAAGTTATGGGATCTTATGCAGCGAACGTACTCTAAGCTGGACCATTCTGACCTCAAAAAATGACTCAGAGTTGGACAGAGTTCTACGCGAGGCGAAGGAACAACAGCAATCCGTCTATTAATCTGCCAACAGTGAAATTTAGCAACTTACCCATCCAACTGTGCTGTAAATATAGGGGGTCCACTACCAAAGCTTGCGTGAGTTTGAAACGATCTCTGACCCTGAAAATCTGAAAATTAGCTCCTTAGTGGGCGAAAAGCTGCAATACAGGCTACTTACCACATTGTACTGCAGTCAAAGTTGACCAGCATCCATTTATTGGGATTTGTATTAAAGGACATGGCGTATTCTATGCCATTCATTAGATGACGAAACTCTGGACAGATCATCGCTGAACCGGCATAGGCGGCATCTACATGAAGCCATAGACTGGAATTCAGTGGTAAAATAAACAGCTTGCTTGGTGGGGTACTTATCCACGTACTCGTTCTCCTGACAAACTGGGCCAATTTCACTCAACATATCGAAGGAGCAGCACGAAGTGGTGCCTAGTGTAGTGGAGACGAAGAACGGGATTAGGCCCAAGTTACGATCCTCCTGAAACAATTTCGAGTAAGGCACGCTGCACACCTCCATGTGGGGTTAACCCTATGTGTGGACGTGGACAGGTCAGCTGTAGAAAAGTACCATCTTTGCCGCGCGGCAATGGCGGGGGGGGGGGGGACACGGAGGAGCACTGGGTCATAAGTGTGATAACTGATTTTTTTTGTCGATGCCGTACATTACCTGCATGTTACCAGCACTTCCAATGGGAGAGGTGGTGCGAGCAAGACTGCTAAGTGTGAAAGTGCTGGCACTCTGCCAAACTGCGCACCAAAAGGCATCTAAATTAAAGGATGTTGCACGATGGTTCCACTCGGCCTTTAATGTAGTAGGCGCTGTGTTAGTGGGGGGGGGTGGGTGGGAAATGCGCGAAGAACGGAGTAAAACGGAGCGAATCACGGCCAAGAGAAAAGCGCTCCGCTTTCAGTGACTTGAAAATCGATTTTGGTATACGACTTGTTCCCTACGCATCTTGCCACATCACGACACTGAAGGACCGATTGCATAGTTTTACTCATATAGCATGCAGCATCACGGCCGTTCTTCCAATTCGCTTTGCTTTCATGATTGCCTTCAGTAAATGAAAGAATACGAGCGTCATGAACGGTCGTCGTTTGTGGGCGGGCGGGCGAGGAAGGCGTTTGGGACGGAATGTTGTTGCTCGATAGGGTGTTATAGGGGTACCCTCGTTGGGAAAGGCGCCACGGAGTGCCTGCCCGAGGTCACGGAATTCTGGTTAGCCAGTCTTATAATCCTATCATCTCATATAGCACTTATCGTGCCAATACTGCCGTTTAAAGCGCGAGAAGAAGAAACGAGCTTAGCAACTACTATCACTTCAAAGGCCAATCTCCGCGACCACAGTCAAGGTTAGTAACTCGTTAAAAATAGAGCTGCCGCGTGCTTTGCTGATCTTACTGAAGAGAAGGAAGCACGAAAAAGCGCCCGGAATAAGACCCTCTTTATTGCAATTGATCATGATCACCGGACGAGCGTAAGGTGGTCAAGATCAATTGTGATTGCGAAAGGCGGCGATACACTGGTAAGAGATGAGAGAGGCCATGAAAATCACGGACGGTGAGGCAGCGATAGCGCTATTACACTTGTAACTTGGAGGCCGGCTATGGGCCTATCGAGCGCCAATTGGGCCTGGTAACTCTTGAGCCGCGCTGCGTTTTGTTGCTTGTTTTTTCAACTTAAAAGCGGTATAGCCTCTGACGTTGCTTGCTTGACCATCGTGCACGATTATGAGAACCTAGCCTTAGTTTATCGCGGAACGTGCCTTTAAGGTCATACATTTGAGCGCAGGTGGAGTGTTTCCTCGTCCTCTTAGGCAACTGGATAGGATTGGCAGTAGTCCAAAACATGTCGATCAGACAGATCAATTAGTAATCATTGGCTGTAGTTCAGGACGTCCAGGGCGACTGTCAAATTCCCCGGCATGGAGCCATCAAACAAAAGCTAGTGGCAGAGAGCAGAGTCGAGTAAGTTACCTAGTGCTGATACCTGGATCGTGCGGGATGCTGCGTCTCGGATGTCCTGTAGTACATCGTAAAGTTCTTCCGCTCCCCTCTGGAGGTACCCAAAGTTGGGGTCTAGTTCTCCTGTCAAATTCCTACTCTGTCAACGTGGGGGTACCTGTAATGGCGTTCCGAAGTACGTCTCCTCGCAATCGAAACTTGGAATCAGTTTCCAAAATTCGCAGCTTCACCATACCAATCATGCAGGCCTTCTCCACAGAAGAATGAGCCTGAATGTTCAGTCATGCATGAGCACATATCAGTAACTTGTTAAGCTGTAGGTTACCTCTTTAGAGCAGTAGGCAATCAACTTGGACAGCAGGAGTCCTTCCTCTACAAAAGGAAATCGTTGGCGGAGTTCTTTCATGACCTCGAATCGGGCGGCTAATAATGAGACAAAATTGCATTCAGAAGCAGAACCCTGGAAATGGGACATCAATACTGTTCCAGATTTTTAGTCAGCAAGTTAAGACTTGGGTACCTGGATGACACCGCCTCCTTTCCCTCCTTCTGTGAGCGGCAGGAACTCCTTCGGCAGGCCGATCATCTTGCCAAACCAGTGCAACATTATCAATTCCAGTTCGGTCATTGCAGGGCAGGAGGCCTACGAAAGGCATGATCGACCAAGTACTCTGGAGAAATTACCCATTCTAGCAAACTTACCCAACTGAATCCAACGCAACCCAGTGCGTCTCCGATCATATTGGCAAGGATTGGATGGATAAGAGTTACCGGCTGGGAAATATGCGTGAAACCGGGGGTGTTGCCAATGGGTCACACCAGGCATGATAAACTTTTCAAAGTCATCCATCACCTTTTCCCACGGCTCTCCTCGTGACGGAGCTTCCGATGGTATCAAATTCTGAAAAGAGCTGACTTCAAACACAGATGGGATCTTACAAGCCAAAAATTCACTTTCAGATAACCCGGTTCGATTGCTGGTACCACACGTCTTTTCTGAATAGTTTTCATATAATCAGCTATGTAATCCACCGCCTCCTTGCCGTATCGCCGGAAATCCTGACGGCTCATACCTGGAAACATATCGTGGTAT